TAAATGTGTGATATAAAAGTGTAAGTTTGGAATCTAACTATAAATAAAAGTGGAAATTATATTTTTTACTTTACATTTTTAGTTAGCAACTTTAAAATATGCAAAGTAACATATAGTCTTTCAAATTTTTATTAAGGACTGAGAGTTAAAAACTTTGAAAATCATTTGTTCAGAAGGCCTGATTGAGCTGAGTGATATATATCAAACTCTACCTTGAAAATAAAAATCATTCCTCCTTTCTCTCTACATCTTTCTTCCATAAAAATTATTCCTATTGGTGCCGGCCATTGATCGACTTATCCAAGTACAAAGAATACATATATATGTATAGATTAAACCTGCAATAGTGGAGCTTAAAAATGACAGCAGTAATGATAAACTCTCTTAAAATCCATGGGTGACAATATAAAAACAAACAACCTGATTGGAGTGGAGTAACTACTTGAAAAGACCTTTCTCCAAATATATACAAATGGTAAATAAACACGTAAAAAGATTATCTATTAATCATGAGGGAAATACAAAAAACAACCATATTGAGATATCACCTCACACCCATACTGATGGTTATTATTATTTTTTTAAATACCAAATAACAAGCGTTGAGAAGGATGTAGAGAAATTCAAATACATGCACACGGTTGGCAGGAACGCAAAAGGTGCAGCCGGATTGGAAACAGGGCAGCACACACCCGAGGCCTGGTCCAGGCTGGCTGGACGGCTGGTGGGCAGGGGAGATAAAAGTCTGGAGGGACCCTGCGGGGGTGGTGTTCTCTCTCTCTCTCTCTCTCTCTCTCAATAAATTAATAAACCTAAAAAAAAAAAAAGTTTGAGCGCAAGAAATTCTGAGTTTTGTGAAGTGTATGATGGACCTACAAGAAAGGCTGCCCCAATGCAGATGGACGAAGCGAGGTCTGCTCTTGGACTTCTTTTTCCTTTTGCTATAGGGTGCGTGTGCGCGCGGGAAAGACAGACAAGAGACAGAAAGCAGGAACTCGCCCCCACAGGGTCTGGCCACACTGCGATCCCGTCTCGGGATGACAGCCACACACCCCAGCCCACACCCCACGCGAGTTCCAGCCAGCGGCCCGGGCCACCCACCCCGGTGTGGAAGTCCAGCGCCCTAACCACTCCGCCACCTGCCGGCCCTGTCCTCGGACTTCTAGAAATTGCATGCCCTGTTTGGAGTGGCTTCCTCCTCCCCACGAGGGCCCGGTTCCAGGGTGACAGGACCACAGGGACCAAGGCCGGGAGGGGGCCCGCCGGCTCCGCTCGGGACCAGAAAAGAGAACCCTCCTCCGCCCGGCGGCCGCGGGGCTCGGGCC